CAACAGCAGATGAAGAAGTATGCGGATTTGAGTAGGAGAGATGTAAGGTTTGAAGTGGGAGAATGGGTTTTCCTTAAGTTGAGGCCTCATAGGCAACAGTCCGTTATTAAAAGAATCCATCAGAAGCTTGCAGCTCGTTTTTATGGCCCTTTCCAGATTATTGAGAAGATAGGGGAGGTAGCATATAAGTTGCAATTGCCTGATCAGTCCAGGATACATCCTGTCTTTCATGTCTCTTTACTTAAGAAAGCTGTAGGAGACTACGAAGTCCAAGGGGAGCTGCCTAAGGAGTTAGAGGTGGTTATAGGGGTGAAACATTATCCTGAGAAGGTGCTGGGCTCTAGAATAACCATGAAAGAAGGAGTGGCTGTTGTCCAAAGTTTGATTCAGTGGAAAAATGGATCTGTTGATGATGTGACCTGGGAAGATAATGATTTTTTGCAGGGCCAGTTTCCAGATTTTATCCTTGAGGTCAAGGATGTTTTGAAGGAGGGTGGTATTGATAGAGGAGGTGCGGATAGTGAATTAAATGAGAATGTGGAAATTGAGTACGAGCCCAAACCTAAGACTTGGAAGGTGTACACAAGGAAAAGGAAGAAGCATGACGTGGCTAAGAATCACCTGAAGGGGTGAGATGCATGTGACAGTAGTACTATATAAGGATTAAGAAGAGAATAGAGAGGTAGCCAAGTTTTCAGTTAGTAGTGGGGTCACTTTTGAGTGATTTGTGGGAGGCCTGCTGTAAGAGCACAGATTGTGTCTTAGTAATATCTCTAAGTTTTGATGATAACATTAATGATAATTTGTATACAAGAATTATACTCTCTAAATTTGTTCTAAACTGTTTTCTACAGGCACAAAAGATTTTAATCTTAAAGAGCAAATTTGATGTGAACAATAAATTCTGAATGGCTCAAGAGCATCTGAAGATTAGAAGAATCTGAAGTATAAGAGCTTAGTCATCAAGATTCTGAAGATACAACACGCTGCATATATTATCAAGAATCTGAATGAAAGAAGACTCTGAGTGAAGAGACTCTGAATGAGAGAAGACTCTGATCTGAGTGAAGACTCTGATCTAAGAGCATGTTACGCTTCAAGCACACAGCTGCACCAGACTCTGATTCAGCAACATCTGAAGAACATCTTAGGCTCTGAAGTTTCCAGAAGATTCTGAAGACTGAAGACTCTGATATTGATTGTTGATCTGAACTATCTGAAGAATTATTTGAAGAAGATTATTTTAATATATCCGTTGGAATATGCCAGCAAATCTTTCCTTAATTGGGATAGACATAAATCTCTGCAAGAAGATTATTCCTCTGATACATTCCATATATGGTAAATTCACAGCTCAGCAGACAATTGCTACACCCACATTTTGTGCGCCGTCTCTCTGCTGCAATAGTACAAAGGACTGTACCTTTTTGATATTGGAAATATCTTCTCCAACGGTAAAATATTCTCTCCAATATTCAAGTGGCTATATAAAGGATATCATAGCACTTTCTTCAGTGACGAATTTTGTGACGAAAATAATTGCAAGAAAACTCTCACGCTAAAACTCTCAAGCTCTCATATTCTTTGCTGTTCATACATTGTTCTAAACTTAGAGAAATAACACAGTTGTGTTTATAGCTTTATTAGAAGCAATTTCTTACTCTTACATTGTATTACATTAATTTGTAAAGGAAGTTTTCCTTAAGAGGATCTAGGTTAGATCAGTAGCTCTTGAGAAGACTAAGAACAGTTGTTCTTAGGTGTTGCTATTTGTAATCAGTTGATTTGAATAGTGGATTAAGTCCTTGTTGAGAAAGGCAAATCACTCTTGAAAAGGGTGGACTGGAGTAGTTGAGTTCAACGAACCAGGATAAAAATACTTGAGTTTTTATCTTTGATTGTTTTCTGTCATACTTATTCAACCCCCCCCCCCCCCTTCTAAGTATTTTCTCACCTTCACCTGCGGCCTAGGGATTGGTGTAATCATTTACCAATTTGTCTTCTACCCTTTTCTGTTATTACAATCTGTTTCACATAATTGTTCAGATTTTAATACAATTACAGTTTATTCTCTTCTATTTTCCTGTAACTGTTCCATTCATCAGAATAGAACCCATCATACCTGAAGGTAGGAAAAATACTTAGAAGAGGGGGGGCAGGGGGAGGGGGGTTGAATAAGGGTTTCAAAAACAATTAAGATGATAGAAAAAATAACAAGGTATTTTTATCCTGGTTCGTTTGAACTCAAACTAATCCAGTCCACCCTACCAAGGTGATTTTCCTTTCTCAACAAGGACTTAATTCACTAAATCAAACTGATTATAGTGTTAACCACTAAGACAAACAATCTTAGTCTTCTCAAGAAATCTGACCACACTTGATCTCTTAAGGAATCTTTTACAAAAGATAAACTAACAATGTGTTTAAGAGTTGCTTCTAAAAAGCTATATCACAATAGTGATTTTTACACAAGTTTAAGAACGAAATAAAAACTATTTAGCTTGAAGAATGTTTGTATGAGTTTCTAGTTGAATAACTTGTCAAGAGATTTGGTAATAATTCCGTCGTTAGCTTCAAAGTGATGCTGAGACTAGCTTTTATAGTACTTGAAGTTCATTTCTCAAAGACTGTGCAATGCTGAGCATTCTGTTGCTTTTTGTCTTCGATTGACTTTTCCTTTCTCAGAAAGGGAATGTTCAGACAAATCCTTTTTGTCTGAATTCTAGTGTCAAGCACAAATGAGAAAAGAGCTGTTTGGATAAGCACAAGGAATATGCCAACGGATCTTTATTTGAACAACATCTTCTTCAACAACTTTGGAACGTCTTGCATCAGATCCTCTGATGATGTTCCTAGTTCTTCAGATCAGAGTTACTCTATCAGAGTGTTGTAACAAAGTGCTTTAGCGTGAATATCTTTATCAGAGCAGACTTGCTTATCAGAGCCTCTGTACTTGCAGCGTTGAGTACTTTCAGAGTCTTCTGATTCTTTAAATATGCCTTTACGCTCAGAGTCTTCTGCAACTTTACATATGTAGCTTTGTTCAAATTCTTCTCAGCTTCGCTCAGGGTCACTGTAGCAGATCAGAGTCTTCTGATGTATTGCTTCTGACGCTCAGAGCTTTATCATTCTGTGGTGTTCAGAGGCGTTCTTGCTTCCAGAATAATATTAATTTTGATATCTGAAACAAATAAACACTTGAACAGAATTAGAGTATATATTTCTTTTATATAAAATTTCATTAATGTTATCATCAAAACAATGAGATATATTAAACACCAATGTGTGTTCTAACAATCTCCCCCTTTTTGATGATGACAAAAACTATGAAAATTTTTGTTTAAACAGAAAAATTATTTCTCCCCCTGAAATGAATACTTCTGGAAAGAATAAATACTTCCCTTTCAGTTCTTGTATTATTTTCAACGTCAGAGCACACTTGTAGATTCTCAGACTTTAGTTCAGAGTTAATTCTTAGAATTTCTTCAGATGAGAATTATTAGCTCTGAAACACTCAAAAAAATATGATTAGATGTAATTAATCATGTATGAGTTGCCTTTTGGTATCTGTTTATGTGAATTATCAAAATTACCATTTCTCCCCCTTTTTGTCATATCAAAAAGAATTATCTGATAAAGAAAAAAACTTTAAGACAGAAAAAGAATAGCAGAGGAAAACAATAAGTCATAGGATAGATTCTGTTGGAAAAACATAACATACACAAAAGCATTTGATAAACATAATCCAGAAAAGACAAACATATAACACATAAGTGCACAAACAACAAAGAAACTAAGATGAAGAACGGGAAGGCAAAATCATCAGAAGATATAACACATAAGTGCACAAACAACAAAGAAACAAAGAAATTATTTGTTGCATCTTAGGATTAATGATAATCGATTAAATTATTTTATTTATTTCTAAATATAAAATAATTTTATTTGTAGTGTTTGTTATTCTTTAAATAAAATATAAATATTAACAGTGTATATATAGTTTAAAACCAGGAATAACATTATATATTAGTCCAATTTTTTTATAAGTGTTAATTTATGTATTAATTGTTATTTTTTGATAAAATAACAATAAATATTTTTATATTAATTAAAAAATTATAAAAATAATTTTGATAAAATTGTTTTATGTTTAAAAATATATATGAACAATCTAATTAGTTATCGTAATTCTTAAAATGTAATAAATATATTTTTTCATGAATTAAATGTGGGTACATTAAATAAGTTACGCTGAGAGATTATAAAAAGAGAAATTAATCTATTTTATTAATTTTAATGGATTGAAAATTAATTGTTAATATATTATAATGTAAATTTGATTTAAGACTATTTGTATGCAAAATTGATATGATTAATTAGGACAATTATTTTAAAAAAGAGTTTGATAAAATTTAACCAATTAAAAAGTATTAAAAAAAACGGAATGGAAAGTAAAAGATATAAATATTCAATAGAAGAAGGTACATCATTTCAAAAAGAATTACGTGTTAAGAAAAAATAACAGTAATTAAATATGTCACACATGAGTTTGAAAATTTTAAATAAATTTTAGTTCGATTTTGTTTCCTTGAATTAACTCTTTACTGAAATCTCTTTTTTAGTTACGAAATCAATTAAATCTTTTTTAGGTCTATATAAGAAATTATCTAACTAAAATTGAAGTAAACTAACTATCCTTATTTTAAGATTAAAAATTAGTTTTATTGAGTTTCATATTTCCAGTTTGTATGGTTACAAACAAAATAAATCTATTATAATTTATTAATCGACATTTTAGTATTAAATTTTATTATATTTGAAAAAAGTTTGGTCTATAAAAAAGGAAGAGATAAGATACTACTAATATTTAGTTTTTAATTTTAAATCTCCGTGAATGCTATAAATACAGGCTTATAAACATTTAATCAACACAACCCTAACCACACATTATTGAAAGAGGGAAAGAAAAAAAATCAATGGTTATAGAGAAGGAAAGTACAATGTTATCAAATTTAGAGATCATGATGAAAAAACAAGTTACGGCTGTCGAGAAGATCGATGCATATATGGAAAAATTAAAAACTATGAAAAAGAAATTTGATCCATTACCGCATTTTACTTTGCATAGAGTGTTATCTCAAGTTTCTCCACAATTTTATACCAAAGATGAGTTAACACAAATCGAGAAAACCAATCAAGTTTTGTTTCAAAAAATAAATCATTCTCTTATTTCAGATAATAAAGTGGAAAGAGTAGAAGTCAACGACTTAAAAAGTTGTCAACCAAGTAAAGAAGAGAAAATAGTGAAACCAAAGCTCGCAATTAAGAGGAAATCAAGAAATCAAGGGAAAGAAATTCTACCATCACCACCACCAGAATTGCCTAATCATATTAATATCTTGGTCGAAGTGTTGGATGGTACTGATGTTAAATATATCATGTGTAAGACATTGTACAGCTGTGATCTCACCCAAAATCACAATCGTCTTTCAATGCCGATTTCACAGATTAAATGTGATTTTCTCACCGAGATAGAAAAGAAAACTTTAGAAGAAAATGATGAAGAAAAAAAACCAAAGAGTTTAGATGTGATTGTGTTAGATCCAGATTTTAATGAATTTTCTGTGTGTTTGAAAAAATGGGATATGAATAGTACTAGTACTTATAATCTTGCTAAAGATTGGACAAAAGTTTTATCAAAAAATAATTTTAAAAAATATCAAAAAATTGACATTTGGTCATTCAGAGTTGACGGCAAATTACACTTTTTACTTGATAATAATGAGCCGGAAGAAATTGAAAATACTAATGAGCCGGAAATTGAAGATACTAATGAGCCGGAAGAAATTGAAGAAAGCGGAGAACCAAAAAACTCAATCATTATTTCAAATATGGAAGAAAAGCAAAGTGAAGAGATGAAGATTGATGACTCCAAATAAAAAGTCTTTGAACGAAGTATTATTGAAGTTTTAATATTTTAGATATAATTTGTATATGGTTATAAGTCTATTTTGCTTAAGATTATATTTGATATTATTGTTTCTTTTGACAACTTATTTATTTATAAATATCATAATTTTTTAGTAGTCAGTTTTTTTTTTATGTTATACAAGTCGTCAAAATATTAAAGCATTTATTATTTTATTTCTGTACTCTCTTTCATAGAATTAAGATTTCTTGTTCTTATTTTGGAGTCATATGTACTCTACCATCAATGATGTAGCCAAATATGTCAACTTCTAAATTAAAAATATATTATTAAGTAAATAAAAATATGTCATCTAATCCGAAAAATAAGCCTTCTGAATGAATTAGTTAACAAGATAGTCAAATTAATTAAATTTCTATATGATAATTTTAACTGATTCAAATCAATATATATTGTTAAGTAAATAAAAATTATAGATATTGATATTGTTGATGTCTACTTGGTAGTTTGTGATCTGTCTTTAATTTTCTTCTAGTTGTAGTGTATATAGATATTGTACATATTTGGAGCAAATCTGATATAAATGCACCAAAGTTTCATATCAATATTAGATTTCTAATATAATCGGTTTAAAAATTCAATTATCGTCAAATATTTTGTAAAATCCAAGAGGTAATATGGGTTTTTTAAATATTTACAAATACATAGGTATATGTATTAGATTATTTGAGAATTGTGGTATAGATTTTGATTGCCACCAAACATTTCGAAATAAGGTGGTATTGGATTTTTTTTTTAAATTTAGTTTTTTTTTCATTTAGTAATAATTTTAACTTATTTTTATTGAAAATTTGTTTTAATTTTTTTTTGAAAATTCGATTTAGTAACATAAATGAGTTCTTTTTAAGCAAAAAGAATTGAAAAGAATATGTTTCATTAAAAATAGATTAAGAAATAAAAATCTTGTAAATAAATTGAATGATAGAGAATCAAATGTAAGGGAAAACCGCCATACACCACACGAGTTTGCATATAACACTTGATATAGGTTTCGATGATGACGAATTACAACCATGGATGAATTGGCAACTGTAAATTCCACCTCTACTAAACAAATGCAACATATCACCTACCGTATCCTCTTACATTAATCTAAAAACTGGTATAATTAACACAACATGTGTGGATAAAATGTGGTCATGACACAATGCATGAAAAACCACAAGAACATTGTTTTTTTGCAGATTTGCAGGGTATGATTCGACCATACCAGTCAGCGCACATCAAGTCAAGTTTCCTACTGGTCAGCGCACATCCAGTCAAGTTTTCAACTGGTCAGCGCATGGACACCATGAGTCGACCATCAGTCGACGCATGAAGCCTTCATAATTCTCACGGGTCAGCGCGCGCCGACCTATGGTCGACGCATACTGTTGAGTTTTTAACATTGCTGAAATCTGCAGGTCATGCGTCGACGCATAGACCTGCTATGGTCGACCGTTCGCGCGGAAATGTTGTTTTTAAAGGATTCCCACTATTATTTGAAAAGCTGTTATGCCTTTTGGTTGGTCTATTACTATATATACAAAGTTAATTACTTATGTCAAACAACATTTGATAAATTTGATTTAAGTGTACAAAGAAAGAGTCAAATAGGTGTCCAAGATTCATCATCTTCATCTTCAACATCTCACAACACATCAATTACACACAATCATTTTTGAAGTGCCTTGTGAGTGATTAAAGGTGATAAGGTTCGAAGTTGAGATTGGGTAATCTGGTTCGGGTTGAAGCTTGCGACAGGTTCTTTCTTGAATAAAACCTTTAGGGTTTTGTCCTCCAAGATTGGTTTGATTTTTGGGGGTTTTTGGACGAGATTCTTCATCAAGGGTCAGCTGAGTGAAGGTGATTGTGAAGAGGGAGTCTTCATCCATCTAGTAGCGGATTCAGTGATATTGAAGGGAAGATCTCGGGTTCGATTCGTTGTAGTTGAGATCAGTCGGGCCGAAGGTTTGAAGAACTGAGAGTTGTTCAATAAAGGGGCTGGAATCGGAGGTCTATCAACAACGATCGGAGGACTTGATTCATCTTGAATCAAGGGGCAAGGAGTGAAAGTAACATTCAACTTCTTGAGAATTCTGTTGTAAATTTGTTGTTCAATCCTTGTATAAACTGTTACATTCAACAGGTGATATCTATTAAATCAATCTCAATTCTAGTTTTAGAATTGAGGGCAGACGTACCCCGAAGTGAGGACGACGAGGGAACTGCCTCACCAAATCTGTGTCTTCTCTATTTTTCAGCATTTACGTTTTAGCTTAAAAATAAGTGATTTTAGTATAAGCACTTTTGTCAAACTGTGATATCAATTGAGTAAGAGGTTGAAACTCTGTTTTTGAATCCAAAGTACAATATGACATTGTACTAGGCTAGTTGGAATCACTTACTCAACATAAATATCACTTGGAGTGTTTTTGCACACCAAGTGTTCGACAATTTGCCTGAACCAAAATTATCTTATTTGTGTATCTAGTTTTGGTTTGCTCTTTAAATCATTGGAACTAGGAATCCTAACAAGTGAATTAGATCATTGATAAGTGTGACTAGTGTTGTGATTCTTCTTCCATATTGTCATCAATCCATAGGCTTAACGCATATCCGGTTTTCCAATAACCGTTCATTTTAGACTATATTTTCCTCGGTCGCTTCCGCACTTAAAACAATTTTTCAAAACCAATTTTTAATTGGTATTGCCGACTCAAATTTTAATAGGGATCTATTCAACCCCCCCTTCTAGATTTGTGCCATAGTCTAACAAGTGGTATTAGGAACTCCGGTTACTCGGTGCGTCAAATACAACGTTGATAGAAAATGGCTAACGAACCTAAAGGGGCTTATAATAGAGCTCCTGTTTTCAATGGTGAAAATTATAGTTATTGGAAAGACTGTATGCGGGTGCACATAAACTCCATAGATAGAAAAATATGGAACGTTATCCTCAATGGTCCAATATAAATTACTATGACCAATGCGGATAATGTGGTTGTGCCAAAGCCCGAAGCACAATGGACCGATGACGATGAGAGAAAATACAATTATGATTGGAAAGTCAAAAATATCCTAATCTCCTCATTAGGTGTAAATGAATACTATTATGTATCCCATTGTCCTACTGATAAGGCCATGTGGAATTCACTACAAATCGCTCATGAGGGGACGAATGATGTTAAGTTGGCTAGAATCAACACATTAACACAAGAGTTTGATCTCTTTTTCATGGAGCAAGGGGAAACCATTGCTGACATGCAAAAGAGATTTACTCATCTCATCAATCGTTTACATTCATTAGGTAGGCCTGTTTCCAATGATGTTGCTACTAATAAGGTCTTGAGATGTCTTAACAGGGAATGGCAGCCGAAAGTGACTGCCATCAAAGAAGTAAATGATCTTACCATATTAGACTTTACAACATTGTTTGGCAAACTACAAGAGCATGAACAGGTACTCTTGAGCCTAGACCAACGCGAAAAGAAAGAAAAGAAGGACAAAACGAAGGTGAGTGAAAAGAAATCTATAGCTCTTAAGACTTCCTCCTCGAAGTCTCAAGCAAAAGAGCAAAGTGATTATTCCTCGAGCGACGAAGAAGAAGAGGACAAGAGTGAAGATATGGGGCTGTTCGTTAAACGTTACAACCATTACGTGAGAAAGAACGGCATCCAACATTCCGAGAAGAACTTGGTAAACTTCCGGAAACAATCGAGGTACTCCAAAGATGATGACTCGAAAGGTAAAAAAACTAGAGGGTCGTGCTACAAGTGTGGGAAACCCGGTCACTACAAACCGGACTGTCCGATGAACAAAAAGGCAAAGGAAAAGGAATCATCCAAGTCATACAAGAAATCATCAAAGCCAAGGAGAGCGTACATAGCCTGGGAAAGCGACAGCGACTCCTCCTCCTCTTATGAAAGCTCTAGTGATGAAGAAGAGTCTGTGAACCTATGCCTTTCAGCACACCAGAAAAATAAGAAAAAGCAGGTACGTCACTCTAAATATGAGAAGTCCTCAAATATGTCGCATTCAGAATTACAAACCGCATTCAATACTTTACACAATGAAGCAACTGAAGCCTTTAAGAGACTTGCCTCAAATAAAAGAATTTTTACTTACTTAGAGCACAAAATTAAAGAGACCGAAAGGAAACTAGAGGAACTTAAGGCTTCCATTGTGGAAAGTAATAAATCGGATTGTGAGGACCATAGAAATCCTTTCGACTTTGGATGTGCTACTTGTCATATTTGGCAAGGTGAAGTTAGAACCCTTAAGGCCAAATTAAACAAGACTCTTGAGCCTAAAATTATATTTGCTATTGATAGAAAGGATTTTAGAAAAAGTATGGTGAACCCATATCAAAAATATGCATATGTAATTAGGGATCAAGAGAGTAAAAGTGATTCTAAAGTCGATTTTGCATGCTTATATTGTTGCAAGAAAGGTCATTCCATCACTAAATGCCGATTTAGGAGATTTTTGGTTCCTAAAGGCATCTATCAATGGTTGCCCAAATGCAACCACTTTATCGCTAACATATTAGGACCCAATATGCCATTGGGTACCTCCTCTTGCTAATTATGTTTTAATAGGTACAATGTGTCGAGACCACTGAGAGAAGATAGATTCTCGATAGTGGATGTTCAAGACACATGTCTGGAGACATATCCCTATTCATAGACTTTGTGGCTAAGAAGAAAGGGTATGTAACTTATGGTGATAACAATCGTGGAGCAATACTTGGTAAAGGTAGTGTAGGTAACCCCTCTTCCACTACGATTTTCGACGTGTTGCTTGTCGAGGGCCTTAAACATAATCTGCTTAGCATTAGCCAATTATGCGACAAAGGATACAATGTATCATTTTCAAAAGAGTGTTGCAAAATTATGCATGATAATGACAAGAAGAATATGTATAATGGTTTTAGAGTAAACAACGTATATATGCTTGACTTAAATGAAG